CTGTGTTGTTGGTGCGCCCCCCCGCCATACCCAAGGGCAGCTGGGGAGGACGGGGGCTCCGAAGAGGCACCAACCTGGAGCAGAAGCCCAGCCTTCAGGAGGACCCCGAGCACCAGGAGGCCTTGCAGCGGCCCTGCCATCCCCACGGCCAACCCGCCCTGTGCAACCCCTTCCCCTCAGCAATGTGCTCGCCCCAGCACCCAGCACGTTCTGCTTGTGACAAAGGGCGGCCATGAGCCCTTCAGGCCTATCGCTGGCCCTCCAGGGGATGAATCCTGTGAGGAGAAATCCCCCCCGGCTTACAGCAATGGCTGCCTCCCTCCACCACCCTACGCTGCTCCTCAGGGAGGACCCTGCCCCACAGCGAGCGGGGCACACGGCCACTGCCAGCTCCCGCCGCCTCTGAGGGGAGGCAAAGGAGACAGGGGTGAAGGAGGGCGCCGTATGGGTCTCAACTACTGCAACAATGACATGGTTTTTAACCTCTACCCATTACGGTGACCAGGTTTAAAAGTCCTCTCTCCCCCCTCCTCTGGCAATGGACCTAATTCTCCATCCCTGTGGCAACAGGGATGTGAAAGTGCTACCATGCCAATTCCCTCTTCAGCTCCTCTTGCAGGCCTCAGGTGGAGCTTTCACACCTGAAGTCTTGCCTTTGTTCTTTTTTTTTTAAACTGTTGTATTTTCCCCCACTATTTCACTGTTCTAATAAAAGGCATCAGCTCTTCTTACAGACTACCTTGCTGCCATTCTGGTTTGGTAGCACTTCAGTCACCCCCGACACTCATTTTGTTCAAGCCTGGTGGGACTGTGTAAGGTAGAGATGGATGACCTCAAGGACCACAACTGGCATGCGTGACCCTCTGCACTATTCCAGCTTCTTCAGGCAGTGATTTAAGTCCCTCCACTACACCAGCCCTGCAAATATATTTTATACAATCATCACAGAATGGGTTGGGTTGGAAGGGTCCTCCAGAAGTCCAACCTCCCTGCCATGGGCAGGGACATCCTTCACTAAACCAGGTTTCTCAAAGCCCCATCCAACTGCATTCTGTCTTATAAGCCCCCTACATATATTGAAAAGCTGCAATAAGGTCTCCCTGGAGCCTTCTCTTCTCCAGGCTGAACAAGCCCAACTCTCTCAGCCTGTCCCCATAGCAGAGGTGCTCCAGCCCTCTGAGCAGCTTTGTGGCCTCCTCTGGACTCGCTCCAACTGGTCTATATCCTTCTGATATTGAGGGCTCCACAGCTGGACGCAGCACTCCAGGAGGGGTCTCACCAGAGCAGAGCAGAGGGGCAGAATCCCCTCCCTCGACCTGCTGGCCACACTTCTCTGGATACAGCCCAGGATACGGTTGGCTTTCTGGGCTGCCAGCGCACCCTGCCGGCTCATGTCCAGTTTTCATCCACCAGTATCCCTAAATCCTTCTCTGCAGGGCTGAACCCAGTTTAATACATGTATATATTCAAGGTACCTTGCTGCTTTCTCCAACTACCTTTAATTTCTTTCATTGCAGACTGTAACGAATCCTCCAGCACGCTTTCTATACACTGCCCCCTTCTCCCATCACTACTGTAAGCTGTATTTCACCAGGAACTCTCAGTTCCCTACGTTTGTTTAAAAAAGTAGGGTACCAAATATGAATTTTCTTGCCTGAATTTAGTGGCCAGCTCAGAGGCCTTTGGCAAAGATTTCTTTATGTTTTCCCATAATTCGCATCTGCAGGACTTTCCTTGATGACTGGCCTCTGCTGCTCTCTGGACTGGGTTTCAGGGGCCACCGGCCCTCACCTCGCAGAGGGAGGCACTGATGCACATCCCCACTCTGCCACTGCTGCAAGGAAGAGCTGGGAGATGTCATGTCTGGAGCCACATTTCATGGCTGGTTCCTTCAACAAACACGAACGTAGAGAGCCTCAGCTCCATGGGCTGCCCAGCTGGCAGTCCTAACCATGCTGTGTCCTGCCTGTGGAGCAAGCTGTGCCCCAGTGGTCCAAGGCAAAATAAACTTTTTATTGGGATGAGTCTGGGAGGACAGTATTATGAAACAAGTGACAATAAAAACTTCACAGTACCTCAGACTGCGGTATATCTTGTGTCCATCACATAGGTTCAGTCTTATCATTCACCTTTTTTTTTTTCTTTTTCTTGTTTTTGCCTTTTTAGATTCCCTCTGTTTTTTAAAAGACTTCAGATTATATTAGTTACTAGGGAAACCACCGTCATCGCGAAGGGTGGAGTTCAGAGACATTTACGAGACAGGAAAAATTTTATCTATAAAGAGTTTCAAAATTATTATTGCAATTTGTGAAATAGGGGATGTGTAGCGATTTGTTTTATGTGGAAAAAATCTAAATGCAGATCACAAAATGACAGTCGATTGTTGTACGTGAAGGCCAGTCCACCAAGCTTTTATTTATTGTGTGAGTTACTCCCATGCTAATACCAAACTTTGTGTGTTTTATGATGATTCTTCAGATCAGTAACTCACAGAAGGCAACTTTAATCAAGGGTAATAACAACCTCTTAAGACAGAAAAAGGGAAATCAATAGGAGCTGTAAGAATTTGTGCTTTGGGAGGTGAGCTGCAGGACCAGGGACAGACAGGTCCCCTGGGGCTGCATGTCCCATAGCTGAGATTCCTCTCTGGACTGCCAAACCGGTTGCACCGGCAAGGGACCATGAAGGGCATGGACCCTGCCTGCTGCCATCCTGTTCTGTCTCATCTCGTCTCTCCTCTGAATTCCTTACCTCTCCACTGCACCACTGCCAGCATTGCCTTTGGGCAATGGTACCATACAGATGTGTGGCTGGGCAGCTCCTCGGACATTGTTCTGCACCAAAGTACCATCAGTTCCCTTTACACTCACCAATCCTTTCCTCTTTTTTTAAAAAAATTCCAGCAAAGGGGATTTAATAACCAACCCCACAACTTGTTCCATGGCTTCACTGTTCCAATCCCCAATCCCAATCCCATTTTTTTCCTCATGTCTGACATTCTTTCCCACAGACGAACCATTTCAAGTCTTTGAAGATGGGTAGCATCCAGTTACTGAGTTTCACAGGTTTCCTAAAGGACTGTTTCTACCAAACATCTCTTCCTGCCTGAGAAGCAGGAAGCTTTTTATTGGTTGGTTGTCTGAATAAAAAGTTTTCCAAAACAAAACTTATTCCTGTGAATACAGCTCTACTCAGCATTTACCTGCCACACAGAGCCGTGCCTTCTTGCGGCTCCCATGCTTGTAATCCTGTGCACCCAGGGCTGTCCCCCAGTCTGGGGGACCCCCAGCCCACATTCCTGCAGCATCCATCGCACCCAGTAATGTTTCCGAGAGGAACACATTTCAGGCCCAAGGAGGACAGGTTATTCCTTTTTAAAAAGGAGGAGACTAAGACTTCATGATTTTTTCTGAGGTTAAACGCACAAAGGCTTTCCAGATTTACAAGCTGCCGGGGTCAATTTAACCTTTCCATGTTCTGGCAGTGACTTCTCTGCTGGCAGCAACTCCCTCTGCTTTCGGCACAATCGGCACAGTGGGTCAACACAGTGCCAAATTTATATCCATTTGGCTTAAAATATGAAGATACCTATTCCAGCTCTGACCTTTGCAAAAAATGACTTTTCGCAACATAGTTGGGATATGTGAAAAGAAACTTATATATGCCACTGCCTTAAGTCTCTTTTAACCTGCACTAAGGTATTGTGCCCCTTTGGGCAGTGATAAGAATCAGAGGTGAAAGACGGCACTAGATGCATTACACTCTGCAATTTTAAGAAAATACACTAAACATGCAGGTTTTTCCAGGTAGCTTCATGAGGAAACACCACTGGATATGCGAGGATTCACCCACAGGAAACTCTGTAACCTTATTCTCTGCTACAGAAAATGGTTTTCTGCAAGGCACAGCTGCAGTAAAATATTAGGAAGGCAGCAGAGACGCAAGGAGGTCAGGATGTGGATGATTACACAGGCAAAATGTTTTGTTCTGGCTTATCGCTGTTTTGGATGGCTGTAGCTCCTGCCAAATCTTATGCAAATATCCCTACATGGCGTGGATGGTCTACACTAGCTGCTTTCCCATGGTCTTAGCTCTGAAAGCACTGGCCTCAATATTTAAGTGGTACTTTTTGGGGAGTCACCCCTGCGTTTGCTCTGGAGCAAATATTTTTATATATAAGGGGTCTTCTGAGGCCATCAGAGAACCACAGCAATGTTGCTCAGAACGATACATTAGCCAGGCTGTATCTTACGGAAACACAGCTTTTGGGGGTGGAGGGTGGGGGGACTTGGCTCATGAAGCATTTAAAGGTGAAATCTAGACATATATGGCAACCCCATATACAGCAACGCCCCCCATGGCAGGAGGGTTGGAACTAGATGATCTTCAAGGTCCCTTCCAACCCAAACCATTCTATGATTCTATATAATGAGAAGGAGCTATCTTAATAATACAAGGCAGTAGTTGGACACCTCCATTTTACAGGATTGCAGCGTTGGTGGATAAGGGAAGAGCAACTGGCATCATCTACCTGGACTTGTGCAAAGCATTCAACATTGTCCCGCACGACATCCTTGGAGATTGGAGAGACATGGATTTGACAGGCGGACCACTTAGTGGATAAGGAATTAGCCAAATGGTCACACTGAGAGTTGCTGTCAACAGCTCGATGTCCAAGTGGAGACCAGGGATGAGTGACGTTCCTTAAGGGTCAGGATTGGGACCAGTGCTGTTCAACATCTTTGTCAGTGACAAACGGTGGTTAGCCAACCTGATAGCCTTTTACAATGAGGTGAGTTTCTTGGTGGATGAGAGGAGGGCAGTGGATGTTTTTCATCTCAACTTTAACCATTTTTCTCAGCAGTGTATCCATAACGTCCTCACAGACAAGCTGATGAAGAATGGGTTTGCTAAGTGGACAGTGAGGTGGACCAAAAACTCAGCTATTCTGTGTATCTGGGAATACTTAGGATCAGCCACAGCTGTCCTTATACCAGACAGTTGCATTCTCCAGATGCTTCTGCTTGAATTAGCTGTGTGCCGTGTGGCACAAGTGGAAAGTCATCCAAAGGCCTGACATAGTAGGAACACCCTGGGGCAGGAGGACACAGCCTTTGTGGCCCTGCAGACAGCAGCATCTGAATGCCACAAGCATCCTTTGCTCTCCTTGTTGGATTATTTGGTATCTCTGAGCAATGCATCCTGCGGGCAGGGAGGTGAGTTGGTGGCATCCCCACCTTACGCTGGACTCACAGCAATGAGTAAGGGCTGCCATGTGAGCAGCTGCGACCGACCTAATGTCTGTGGGTAGTATAAGCACCAGGAATTGTGAAAAGCTGCTTGCCAAACATCCAGATTTCCTCTCCTGTGATGAAGGGTTGCAAGAATTGGGCTTGTTCAGCCTGGAGAAGAGAAGGCTCCAGGGAGACCTTATTGCAGCCTTCCAGTACCTGAAGGGGCTACAAGGAAGCTGGGGGGGACTTTTTACAAGGGCCTGTAGT